GTCCAGAACCATTGTTGGTCCCATTATGGACAGAAAAAGCTCTTTTTTTAGAAGTTTTTTTTTTAGATTTAACTACTTCTAATGTATTGAAGCAAACATCGTAACAACCCAGAGAAACAAACCAATAGCACCAAATGTTAGCCACATTACATCCAAGCAGCTGTTTATTTAACACAACAACATGGACCGTGCACAATAAAACGTCTGGGAGGGGTATGGGAGACAGAGGCAGCAGAAGAGCAGAGTGGTTTTATGCTGGATGAGTTTTGCACACTTAGAAATAACTTGCAGAAAGAAACCTGCAGGAAACTTGGAAGACTGAACAGTTTTGAGGATTTGACTGGACAGGCAGTTTGAGACAATGCTAAACACGATCACAGATCAGACAGTAAAGGTTACCGAGAAAAAAACTAAAATTCTCCACTCTTCGTGATACTCCTTCCTCATCCAGTTCTGGTCCATACTAATGAAGGTTAGATGCTTGGCTTCACTAAGCCTCAGCTCCGCCGTCCAGCTCCTAAGCAGCCAGGATCAGTGTCAGGATAAACTCACTGCTTGGGTGATTTCCCCAAAATTCTTCATTTTGCCAAACCAAGACGGCAATAATCCAAGTCCTGCCAGAGTTGAGGCCGCGGTTCAGACAGATCAAAAAGCTCCCCGTCTGTCGGCAGGCCAGCCTTTACAGAGCGCGTCACGCTGCCGATCAATACAGACCAGCTTTCATTATCAACTCTTGGCTCATCTCAAAAGGTCATCCAAGTTACAGAACTCCTGAGGGGAATTTATAAACACAGCATGACTGTAGTTGTTTCTCCTTTTCTATATAAAGGATTTCTTTTTTCTTTTCCTGTTAGGCTTCAACCTTGGAAAGTACCGCTGTCCTAAGACAGATCCCGCCAAATAAAAACACTTCTGTGTCCTTGTTTTAACTCATCTGAGTGTCTAGAGAACGACTCTACACTGAGGAGTTTTGGGGTAAAAAAAAGAAAACCACAACAAAAAAATTTGATAAAGATACGATTCAAAAACCTTCAAGCGATAAATGAGCTGTATGCACTTATATGTGGGAGGTATTTTTTTTATTAAAAGGCAAATACATCTCAGGATAAATTCAGACTCAAACTACATTACGGTCAAGGGAGTAGACAAATTTCTCTCGAAAAGTGCCGAAAATGGTGTGTTGGTTGAAATTCGTGGTCATGTGGCTGAGGGAAATAGAAAATCTTCAGAAGAATTCAAGAAACTTCCCACTAAAACCAACTAAAATCATGCTCTGGGACCTCTAATTTACCACAGACCTTGTCCGATTTTAACAGTGCATATAGGGAAACTGTTCAAGGGCTTGAAAAGCTGCAACCGTCTGTAATTCGAAGCACGATGGCTGACTAAGATCTCAAATTTAGGTTTCCACCATTTGTCTTTAGCTCAGAAAGCACACTCTAGGGTCCGAGCGCCACTTGTTGACATCATATAAAGATAATCCCTAAATTATGAACCCCCTGGCAAATTTAGATTTAAAATAACTAGTTTTTGGTAAGAAAAGAAACGGACATCTCTCAAAAGTTGTAAACACTGTAAAGGACATTTACACTTTAAAAAAGAAAATCTGTATTTACATTTACATTGTAGTAATCTATAACATGTCAAAAGGGATTTATACCCTTCCCAATAATCAATGGAAAAGCCTTTAATGGCATTAAAGCAATGAAACCAGCATTTTGTATGTTTTACCTATTCATCTTTGGTGATGAGGTCCAAGGCTTTAAGGCTGAAAGGCCTCCTTGCCATCACCTTAATCTTCAGCTTCCTTGATAGATTCTCTATCAGATTCAAGTTCGGACTCTGGCTGGGCCGCTCCAAAACATTATTACTTTGTATGTAAGTTAGTTAAGTGACACTAAATCTACCAGGGGTATGAATAATTTGGGACTTAACTGTACAGATGCATATCATAGGTTCACTGCATCTGTTACGCACATTAGCTTCATTTCTGTTAATGAGCAAGTGATGTTTCTGGCCTTTTTAAGACAGGGTAAAAATCACCTGTTTTGCTTCAACCCCAGAATAAATCTTAAAAAAAATAAGAGTGGTTGTTTTTAAAAGAAAAGTTGAAGTTTGACTGCAAAACTATCTTTAAATACTGTTTAAACCTGATTTCCACTCTCCGTTCTGCAGGTGCAATCAGATCCAGGTGCTGGAGCGCAGCCAGAAGTTCTGTCCCATTACGTAAAGCTCCCCGATCGTCTCTGTTACTAGAGCAGCATGGTGAGATAGCCGGAGCGGTGTCGGCTCTCCCCCGCTGCGAGGGAAGGTACGTGTGAAAAGAAGAAGCAGCGCTGCTCGAGAGGGCCAGGACAGCAGAGAACGGGTTGATTAGTACCAGAACCAGAACTTTCAAAGACCTGTTCTCCACTCTGAGGAGCAAAGCACCACTGCTCAAGGCTGTTTTACCTTAGCCATCAGGCCATTTAATTTATTTTATTTATACAACAGACATTACCTTCAACCTGTACCGTCATTTCCAGACAAAAAGACCCACACCAGAAAATTCTCTTCACCTGCGTATTATAAACCTCGGGTTCCCCTGCGCTTTGACCCAACACATCGTTTTAATAATATGAACCCAGAATGAGCCATGATGAGAATATCAACCCCCATCCGGCACTCAATCTCCAAGGAGGAACAATGACAGCAAACTCTTTATCACTGACAGCAGCGCGTTATGGACTGCATTCATCACAGCGCTCTCAGGTGCACCAGCAGTGCTGAGATGGACCTGCTAAACACCAGATTCTGGCACCTATATGGATACGTCCTTGTTTCAGTAAATAGACCATGCCCATTTCAAGGAGATCGGGACTGGAGTTGAGCTTAAGCTGCAAAAAACAAAGACTTCAAACTTTAACTCTAAAGACTGGACTCAGATTTAAGAGTAGCGTATACAACTGACTGGTTGCCATGCAAATATAGGCTCTCTGTAATGTTTCTCTACAGCACGAGCCGGTTAAAACAGTTAATAGCAGCTTCAAACACAAACACAAATTTTTGCATTTAATTTAGGCCAGATAGTTCTGCAGTGGTAAGACTTTATAGAATAAATGGATAGATGGACCCATGGATGGACAAACAGATCAATATGTAAGTGGATGGATGTGCATCTTTCATATTAAAATCTAAATAAGAAGTATTGTGGTTGAAGCCACTTATTTCTAGAAATGCAGATATTTATATGTAGATAATGTGACATTCTATACTTCTCAGTATCGTGTATTGGTGCACATGTATTTTTATTTTTACATGCCAAGGATCAGAAAGAGATAATGACTTTAAATGATCTTGTGTTAAATTAGGATTAAGGCTAATGATGTGAATTCATACAGTATTTTACAGTATTTCTGTGTTTTATGCAGGTTAGAAGACAAGACAATGTTGACTTCAATAATTAGCGCCTTGACGTGGAAAAAATGTCTCAAAAACATCTCTGATATTAAAACATGCACAAATGAGTCTGCAAGTAGTGCCTTAACGGGAAAAAATGTGGCGTTTTCAGCAGCCCAGCAACGGGGAAGTTCACACGCAGTAAAAAACTAAGCTTAGATATCAGCAAAACTCACCTCCCCAGCTCGTCTCCGATTTCATAAAATTCCTCCACATTGTCCGGGTTGAAAACAGTCATGTTGGCCAAGCACTGCCCGTCCTCTAGGCTTCTCTGAACGGCACACCGGCTCCTCACAGCGGCACCATCCCTACCAGCGGCAGCCTGTGGTCGAGGCAGGGTGGCGGGCGCAGAACCTCCTCATAGCTGGGGCTTCCTGGAGCATGTGAGAAGAGCAGAAAGGTGACCCGGTCAGAGCTGCTTTAGAAACGGCTCTTTGAAGGCGACAATAGGAGCCCCGAACGGGGTGAGAGATGAACCTGCACCTTCAGGGCGACGTCATGATCCGTCCTCCCAGCCCCTACTTATCCGCTATTGTTTCCTCCCTTCATCTTTTTCAATTATTACATAAGACGGCAGCCGGTTTTTACAGATATCCACGTTTTACCATCCCCGGTTAGGACTGGAAAAGAAACGACACCCGGGAAGCTTGGTGTAGCCATGGGAAACCAGCTAAGCTACTCCCCCCGTGTCTCCTGCTCGAGTCCAGGGAGAAAATTGACTACTGAGTTCGAGTCATTTCCAAATTATATCCCGAGAAGACCTGGACAGGTGTCTTACCCCAAACTGTAGTCGGAAAAACAACTCTAACCCCAAACACTTGATCTGTTCCCAAATTAAACCCCCGAGCAGCTCCCCAGTAATGTTTTATCCCCCCGCTGCAGTCCGAAAAATCAACATAAACGCTAGCTTCTGTGACCGTCACCGCCCCTTTCTTAAACCCCAAAACTGAGACAAATTGGATGGAAACGGGATAAAGTGTCTTACGGTCTGCCGGTGTGTGTCCTGCTGCCAGATGAAGCCGGGATTTCAGGCGTTTTGTGGGAGGCAATGACCCGGGTTTGGCTCACGGAAGACAAATGCTGGCTGGAACGGGAGAAATCAACGTTAACAATGTGAGGCAGTCCACTCCTGGTGATGCCTTCAGGTTTTGTGGTAAATATGGGCACGGAAGTTAAGGCAAGCGTGGATGCTTCACGTAAAAAAAAAAAACGTTAGTAAGCCATTGCGATACCGACCAGGTGTTAATGGAAATTAGGGTGTTTCTGTGTGTTCAGGATGGATTATGTGCCAAATAAAATGCATTGAATAATTAAGGTGTCTAAATCTCAGGCATTTGTCGTACCGTAAATGCTCCACTGTTTTGCCGGCTGTAGGAGCGGATTTAGCCGCAAGAGGGCAGCAGATATTTCACTTTTACTGCATTTGAGCAGAAAAAACATACATCATTTATGGGCCCTGTGTCTTTCTTTTATAAATTATTATTATCTATAGAGTTTTCTCATTGAAAGCCAGGGATTAAAAAAGAAAAATAATGTTTTAAGATATAAATAATTCAATATATGGCTCCACGGTGGTGCAGTTGGTAGCACTATTGCTTTGCAGGTAAAAGACCTTGCTTCAACTCCCAGCCTGGGGCCTTTCTGTACGTATGTATAAGTATAAATGGGTGTGTGCATTGTTGTTTGTCCTGTGTGTCTCTGTGTTCCCCTGCTGTGGACTGAATCAGTCCAGCACCAGACATCCCTCTCAACAGCGAAATTCTCCAGCTTATTCTAGGGGTGTTCCCAAGCCACAAGAGATATACAGTTCATCTATCTCTGTCTTTTCTTTCTTGTCTTTTATTACTCCATCCCCTATGCCTTTTCTTTTGTCTGTACTTATATATTTTTTCTTTTATCCTTCATTGATCATTCCTCTTTTTCCTCATCAGTTCATTGTTTCCTTACTTTCTTGTGCCCTTCCTTCCTCCCTCCCTAATTTCATTCCTTTTATCTGCCTTTCCTTAGTGTGTCCTTTCTTTCATCTTTCCTTCCACATAGTATATTTCATAATCCATATTTAGAGCCTGCCCACTGTAAAAATATCTGCCTTAAATTCATAGTGAACAGTTGTACATAAATTGGCGTTAAGGACTGAGAACTCCTGGAAGTTCAGTCTAGAAAGATATGCAATTTTTCATTAAAATATGTCGGAATGCAGTGGAGGGTTTAGATCAAGAGGGGTGTATTGATCCACAAACAGTGAAACACATTAATAGATTAATCTAACCCAGATAAGGGGAGAGGGTCATCTTCCTGCAGCCAGGCCTGAATGGGAGGGCAGGGGGAGTTGTTCAGGCAGTGCCTGGTGGTCAAGCTTTGTCTCCTGGGGCCCGGCCCAAAGAAACAACTCCCTGTTGGCCTACTACCTCCAAGGAGGAACCTTGCTATCGGGTGGCAAGAGCAGGTGTCTAGGTATACCAGTTTCCAATGTAATAATCTCATTTTGGCATCATGGGATCAATTTGTGATAATAGTAAATAATTTAAAGAGGAATATTCGGAACAATTTTTTTAGCTAAAATGTAAAACATACATTATTTATACCCATGGTTCTGGGAGGGTGGTACTGTGGGCTGCCTTTAGTAGAACCTGATTTTTTTGTGGCCACAACAGCAGTGTTTGTGAAATATTTACAGATATAAATCAGAGAAGTGAATGCAAACAGTTTTTCACCGTGGCTATCACTAAGGTTAAGTGATAGCCACAGTTATTGAATTTCATGGTTGGGGTTTGTGAAAAACCTCAGCATTTTTCCTCAGAACTCTTAGATTGGGGGTTACTTTAAGGGACTTACCTAAAACATACAGGTTGCTTTACCTGGACATAGATGTTGCTATCATAATACATAGAAGGTACCTCCAGGAATATAACCAAAACTAACAGGTTATTTTCATGAAACTTCCAAGTTAATTTCAGGAATGTTCCTGAATGTGACAAGTTACTTCAGGGTTACTTCCAAGTTAATTTTATGGAACTTTCAGGTTACTTTAAGGTAAATTGGAGGTTACTTTAAAGCAGCTTACAAGGTAACTTATGGAATTTACAAACTACTCAACCAATTTACAGACAACAGCCGGAAAATATAGGTTTTCTTTCCGGAACTTTTACAAAACATAAAGATTATTTATTATCTGGAACCTATAGGTTACTTTATGGTTTCTTCCCAAGAAATTCCCAAAATTTACAAGTTACTTCCTGGAACCAGGATGTTTTTTGAGCTAACCTGTAGCAACTGTAATTTTTAAATCCATTTTTATGAATTTATTTAAAAACAAATTTAAATGGACATTTAATGCACCATCTATTTCAAATTTACACATTTTCAAAGTTCGATTCCTGGGGCTGTACTGTGGCGCAGTTGGTAGCACTGTCACCTTGCAGCAAGAAGGTCCTTGGTTTGATTCCCGTCCGGTGGTCTTTCTGCATGGAGTTTGCATGTTCTCCCTGTGCATGCGTGGGTTCTCACCTGGTACTCTGGCTTCCTCCCACAGTCCAAAGACATGCCTGTTAGGGTAACTGGTCTCTCTAAATTGCTCTTAGGTGTATGAATGAGTGTGCGTGGTTGTTTGTGTGTTGCCATCATATAAAAATGATGTCCAGGGTGTACCCTGCCTCTTGCCCATAGACTGCTGGAGATAGGCACCAGCTCCCCTGTGACCCACTATGGAATAAGCGGTAGAAAATGACTGACATTTTCAAAGTCACTTTATTTTTGGGGGGGTTTATACATATATAAGTTTATGCACAAAAACTGCTGCATTTAAAGATTAATACTGGGCTCAGTTTTACAAGCAAAAAGTTGTACAAAATAAAGAGGTTTTTTTTTTTAATCAAAGGACCTCTGAAGCATATAGTTTCAAAGCTTCGAAGAGGACTGGGAACCGGTTGAGCAGGTAAAGCGAGTGAAGAGGAGACTGAGGACATCTGGTGGGTGGAAGGAGTGATGCAGATCTCATACATTTAAGAATGCAAAGTTGTTTTTTAAACAAAAAAAAAATAATTATACGCAGGATAATATAATATAATAATTTTTATTAAATATAAGTTTTTATTTTGTTGCATTGAATCATGGGGAATAACACAATTAGAACATTTGGATAATCGTTCAGATCTCTTTATTACAGTTTAAACATCTGAAATGTATAAAAAGATACAAAACATTGATCAGAAGTGCAGTGCGAAAAATCAGCAACACGTGCTGCTGAACAGCACAGAGGAAAACGAGGTTCTGGCTACAGAAACAAACTCTGAAAAGGCTTTTAATACATTCTGTCACTGTATAAGGGCACCATTATATTCATTTATTCTGTTTTCTCTCATTATTTTGAGTTTCTCTTTTGAAAATTAATGGCATACATGCTCATAGGCATACAGATGCCCTACAAGTATTGTGTCTGTTAGCTGCCGTGCAAAAAGTCAAATTGTCAGCATCCAGCACAGGTTTGTAACACAACACCAAAATAAAAAAGGCATGTATATGTTTCCTCTGAATTAAAAAGTTTGCTTCAATGAAAGGCACCTTAAGGTTGAGAATCACCTGTGTTGCAACAGCTACTTTGATTTCCAGCACCAAATTTCCTCTGTTAACCATAAATAGTCAACTACAACATATAAAGCTTTAAATGTCTTTGGTTCATCACAAGATACAAAGCTTACATATACAACCGCCTTTGGAGGAAAAAATCAGAGAAATTTAAGTTAAAAAAAAACATTTTATCTCTGTTGCTTAAAGTCAGACATGGAAAAAAAACTGATTCACAACCCAAATGCATATAAACTTCTTCTCGTTAAATATTTATTCATGTAAATATTACAATGTTAAAATCTATAGTATAAAATGTTTATTTAAGATTTGTTCATTAACTGAGCTGCAGAAAACATCCCTGTTTTGACCTAACAAACCTACTTTTATCATCTTTATGTTGCAAAATATTACAAAAAATTTAGTTTTAATTTCAAGGCATCCATGCATTCAAAGAGGAAAGTGTGCAGATAAAGATAGACAGCATTTTTAAGTGACCGGTAAAAGCATCTGGCTGCAGAATAACAAAGATAAGCAACAAATGATTTTTAAATTGTCTCTGAACAGAAGATGATACATTTTCTGACAAAAATACACTGAAATGAAGCATAAACAAGAACATGATCAATTTCACGATTTAAAGTTCATAAAGATACTTTCAGCATTGTTTTTATTTTTTGAGTCTGAAAACAACAACCACATAGATGACAACTCTAAATCAAAGAGTGTCACCGAACAGATAAAAAGCTGAACTAGTCCTGCTTGTAGTGTGCCTACGGAATGACAAAACTGCTAAACACACGACATACGATGATCCTGGTTTTCAGTCTCATCACACCTGAAGGAGCGACAGCCTGCGGTCTTAGTGCTTGTTTAACAGCGAGGACCAGTACCTGGCCCCAGTTATTAAAGGAATGTACACAGAACCCATATGCATGAACTTAAAAAAAGGCAAAACAACAGAAATGCTTCCTTAGAGATGCAGTGCAAAATATTATTAATTACTATGCAACAAAACTTACATATTAGTTCTGAATAGTACGTTTATTGGAGGATAATCCACAAACAGACACAAATTAGGTAAATAAAGTGAAAATTCTGTGTCAGAAAGCAGTAAATAAAATCCTTCTGGCAGGTGTGAACAAAGTATTTCTGCTCTGGGGGAAACATAAAATCTCCCAATAAATCTGTTATTAACTTTTAATTAACTTCTGCAGAGGGAATGTTTCAATCAAATCACTTTTCCAAAAACAAAAGCCTAATTTTGGGGCTTTTGTTTTACTTATTTTTCATTAAAATCTTTTTCTTTTATGAATCCTCCTGTTTTTATAGATCTGGTCACACCTCCAGAGGATCAGTTAATCAATAGCTTTAATTAGCAGCAAGTGGCTTCCACTTTTCTTTTGAAATCTTATGGAGGCCTCTAGGGTGTACTTAGTTATTTTACACATGACCTTTTCACTCAAATATTTTAGCATTTTGAATAATAAGTAAAATAATTGGGAATCACATATACAGTGAAGGGAAAAAGAAAGTACGCCGACTTTAAATTATCTGGTTTTATGTAAATAATCTGGTCTTTACCAGGTTCTAAAATTATTTCAGTTTAATCTCAAAGAAAAAAAAGCTGCTTCAGTTCCTTGAGGTTTGCAGACATTTATTTCTGCACAGCTCTCTAAAAGTCCTAACAAAACAATTTAATCAGGGTGAGGTCTGGACTTTGACTGGGCCATTGCAACACTATGATTCTTTTTTTTTTTAGTAATTCTGCTATTGTTTTCTGGCAGTGTTTGGGATTAAACATGCAGTTATTTCCCACTGGAGCTGAACTGGATGGTGAGTTAAGAAAGTGGTAAAGAAAAGAGCAAAGCACTGAAAGCAGTGTGTCTTTGTTGGTTATTCCCTCTGTACAAAGCTCTGCTTTGCCTCTGGACTCCCAGGATTACAAAGGTCTGGGCAGTCTGTAAACATGATGACACTTTGTGTTTCCCAACACATTAAATGACTTTGATTCTCTGCTTGTTGCTGCCTAGAAGCTCATTGTCCTGTGTCTGTGTCTGTTATCAAGTAGATCCC